CTTACTGGGGTCAGGACGGCTCAAGGGCACCAGGCGGCTTCTGGACCTTCGGGTCTGTCTGGCGGATGGGGAAGAGCACAGGATGGTGAAGGCTTCCGGTCTGCGGACACTGGCGAGGTCAGCACCGGGCAGAGGCTGGGGAAGCCTGGCGGGATCTCGAAGGTCCCGGCGCTGAGCTGCGGGCCCCAGCGTGAACCGCCTGTCCTCGTGCGTGTGGGCGTGGGCTCTAATCACCGTGGTGATGCCGCCCATGGAGCTCAGGGGATCCAGCACCTGCCTCCCTTGCCGGCTACCTCTGGGCCTGAGGAGGCTGGGCCTCGGGGGGGCCACGCCCACCAAACCCCGCCCTCTCCTAGGCCACACCCTTCCGAAGCCAGCCCCTTTGTGGCCTCACCCCTTGCAGTTCACACCCTTCTTCGGGCCACCCCTCCCCAAGCCCAGGCCACACCCTCCATAGCCACGCCCTCCTGGGGACCACACCTTTTTTTTTTGGTTTTCTCCGGTACCAGGAACCGAACTCACGACCTTGCGCTTGCCAGGCAAGCGCTTTGCCGCTGAGCTAAATCCCCAGCCCCGGCCACACCTTTCTTGATGCCACGCCCTCCACAGGTCAGACCCGTCCCTGGGGCCACGCCCATCCAGGCCACGCTCCCCACTGTCTCTCCGGGCTCCTCTCTCGGGATGTGGGGAACCCCCCCAACACACACACACGTAGATCCCTCTCGGTGTTTGACCATTTCAGTCCCTCAGGACGGCAGCTTCTGACAGCTCAGCAGAGCCAGGGCTCCAACAGGCAGGGCCACGTTGGCCTTTATCCCCCAGGGGCTGCGTGGGAGAGCCAGGAGCTAAGCTGGGACTTAGAGCGATTGCTCCTGTCCGAGGGGACCAGGTCCCGGGCCTGGGTCACAGCAGTCCCACCCTCCCCTTCTGTAGGATTGCAGCACCCGTTACAGCAGGGCTGCGGGGAGGGTGGGAGTGCTGCACGAGCTCATTCTAGAGGAGCAGAGGGGAGGAGAGGGGACAAGATGTCCCCAGGCCACAGGCTGGCCGCGTCCTCCACCCTTGTCCTTCTGCAGAGGCTCCCTGCCCAGGATTAAACTCCAGCCGGTGGCTTCCGGTGAGCCTGGCTTGGCTTCCGCAGCTGTGCCCCAGCTAGGGTGGAAGAGAGATGCTCTGGACTTGCAGTTCTGTCCTCAGGGGCCAGAGCCACAGAGGGGCAGACCACGGGAGCAGAGCTGGGCGCGCTACCCCGAGGGGGCAGTGGGGTGTGTACGCCTCCATTCTGTGCCGAGGCTCCTGGTGTTTCCTAGTGTCCACTGTGTTCCCGGTGCTGTGTTTGGAACAGTGCGTGTGTGTGTGTGTGTGTGTGTGTGTGTGTGCGTGTGCGCGCGTGTGTGCACTGGACACGTACTAGGTACACAGAATGCGCGTCATATGTAAGACGCAGGCATGCATTAATCCTGCGCCCACTGGTCTGTCGCACTTTAAAAACACGCACCCTCAGCCCAAGCCGGGCTTTTGTGCCAGTGCAGCCCGCGTGCCCACTCTGGGGAAAATTGCGGCTTTTTCTCCTACCACGGAGGTAGATATATTATTAAATATAAATCCTCAGCAGCGTGTCTTCGGAAATCAAGTGCTCTGTTTATCTCTGCTTAATGAGGCTGTCAGTGTAACCTGTATTTATTGAGCCACAAGTAGGTTATAAAACTTCCATTAATGACTGGAAGTAACTCAGTTGTCATAAACAAAGAAGAAATTAGCGCTGGGTTCAGACCCGGTGGGGCCGATCCGCACGGGTTCTAAGAACTGCCGTCGTGTTCCAGCAGTGCCACTTCCGGCCCCGGGATGAGCGTCTCAGAATGGTCGCGCCTACGTGGCCAGGGCTGGTGCACACCTGGGATGCAGCCCTGTTTGTGGGCCAGCGCCCGGTTCCTCCCTGGCCACCCTCCTTGGCACCCACACGGGACCCCCAGCAACCCCCGCCTGACTTGAACGCACCAACTTGCCCAGGAAGGTGCCTCCTGGGAGCATGTTGTGGGTCTGTGAGGCACGGTTCTCAGCCGCCTCCCAACACTCCGGAGGGATTTCCTCTGCGAAAGAGATGCAGGGATGGGGCGAGGGGCAACAGGGACGGAAAAGGAACTGCGGCATGTTGTGTGCACCCGCCAGCTCCCCACCACGAATGCAGTCACCCTGCGTGGCCAATGTGGACTAACAAAAATGTGAAATTTTAAAGAACAAGAAGAGGTATAATGCTATAAAGGATAGCTTACCGGAGCCACAATGGAATCATTAGCAACAAGCGTTGGGTACTGAGTGGGTTAAAGAAGCAGCTGTCACCTTTCCTGGAGAAGCATTATCCAAATTCTGAGCATCCTACTTAGGCATAAAATTTAAGAAAGGTCTAAGCCCATTGTCCGTCTGAAAAGGCCTGGGTACTGATGTCTTCTGTTTCCTGAGAAGATTGCCAGAGCCAGGTGGTTGACCTACTTATTTAAGGCAAATCTGATTCAACGTCAATCTGGCGAGAGTGAATGGGTCGGCTCTAGAATCTGTCTTAATGTAAGAGCTGCTGTCCGTGGCAAATGGAACATTTTTTACCATGCATCTTGGCTGCCTACCCCAGCTTGAATTTGCAAAGTGGTGGCCGTAGCTTGTTCTTTAGAACATTTCACCAAGTATTTGGAGGGCAGGTGGCTTCCAACCGGTGCTCCAAATTCCCAGTTTAGAAATAGCCATGTCCCAGGTATTCCCTCTGCAGCCATTATTTGAACACAAACTGTGTTATTCCCCCTGTGAAACAAAACCACATGTGATGATGGCTTTCTAAAGGTTCAAGTGCAGCTCTGAGGGCCACCCACAAGGAGCAACTCCAGCGTCAGCTCAGAGCAGTATGTGTGCCCGGCTGCCCAGGCCACCATCAGGGTCAGCAGGTCACCGAGCCACGCGCTCTGCTGAGATGTGTTCAGGGGAGGAGCCCAGAGCCGGGGTCAGGTGCCAGCTGAAGAGCTCTTGCCCCTGTGCAGTAGCAGGTGCTATCATGGGCAGGGTGGGGGGTCCCACCCGTACCAGTGAGGGCATGGCGGGCACACCCCTGAAATCCCAGCCCCAGATGCCAGCGCTGGCCAGGCTTGCCAGCAGCCTTTTGAAGGGGGCAGCTGGTCATAGGCACTGGCTACTTTGAGGGGAGGGGCTTGTGGTTTTGGTCCATGGCTGCTGGTCTCAAGGGAGGGGCAGGGCGGCAGAGGGGAGGAAATGGTGCTCAACCTGCAGCAGTCAGGAAGCAGAGAGCTAAGGGAGGAGGTAGGGCTGGGGACAAGAATGCACCCCTCCAGGTCCCACCTCTGGACCACCTGCGGCAAGACCCCGCTTCCTAGTGGCAAGATGCATCCATGGAGCATAGCACCCCACAATCCAGCCACCTTCCATGCACAGGGGAACTGAGGGGTGTCTTAAACACAAAACATAACAGATCCTGCAGACCCCTTGAGGCAGCTCTGTCCTGTACAGAAAGCTGAAAATTGTATGCAGTTCTCGGTTAGGGCCAGGGTGGTCCCCGCTCTCCTGCGAGCCCACCCGAGACCATCACCTTCTCCTCACTGGCCCTGGTATGGGGGTGGCCTCGCCTGTCTCCTGCCATCGTGCTAGCCAAGGGGTTAGCAGACAGCACGTGGCCTTGTCCTCTGGATGCAGACGCAATCAGTGCCAGCCTGGGTTGAGTCCCACGGCCCCCACCTGCTCCTCCATCTTCCCAGTCCCCTCAGTGTGCAGGCTTCAAACCCTCCATCTCTCCCCAGGGGACAAAAAACAGAAAACACATGAGGCGCCGTGGTTTTTCCCAGCATAAAGGCCAGTTTGTAAATCCAACTGTGTACACAGTTGCACTGAATTTACCATAGGCTTTCATCGCACCCGTGTCTTTTCATTTGAAATTTTCTAGAGAAAGGTGAGGACCCAGGAGCGAACCGGTGAACCTGGGCCTCTTCCTCCAGCAAGGAGCAGTGGCTGGTGTCTGGGAGAATAACTATTCAGGCAGCATCTACCCTTTTCCCTGGGAAGAGGGGAAGGAGGAAGGAAGAAAGGAGGGAGGGAGGAAGGAAGGGAAAGAGGGAAGGGAAGAAGGAAGAAAGGAAGGAAGGAGAAAGGAACGAGGGGACGGGGGAAGTAGGGTCATTGCTGCAGCTGTGATGGACAGCTCACTTTGGTAAATTTGCTTTTGCTCAGAGCTTGGACAGAGTGTGGGTGGACACCAAGCCCCGGCTGCACAGTGCCGCGCTGCAGTATATGTGTGGAGCCGGGTTAATCAGCTCCAGCACCGGCTGTTTCCTTGGAAACCAGGGGAGCGTCCGGCGCCATCCTGCCTGGGGTTCGAGTCCTGCTCCCCCACTCACGAGCTGCGTGGGACCTGGGCCCTCCGTTGGCTCCATGGCGATGCCTTCATAGGGTGTCTGTGAGCGGGAACGAGGATAGCCTTGGCTCGGGGCCGTGGGCTGTCAGCATCTGACGCCTGTCTGCCCCTGGGTCCCCGTCCTGAGCTTGGACTTCTCTGGGGACCGGATGTTAGGTGACGATGGCTCACCGGTTCCTGGCACAGAAGTGCCGCTCCGGAAGGCTCATACGTATTAGAAAGTTTGCTCTTGCAGTTTTAGCTTATTTCCCTTTTCTGTTTGATTTTCCAGTGTAAGGGTTTTTAGAGAGATCGTTGCTTTGTGTTTTAATTAGCAGCATAAACTAGGACGAGGCCACGCCACCTCCTTATATAACTACCGTCCGCTCAAGGCCAAAGCTCTGCCCTGCTCCCGATTGGAAGGTGGGGATAATTGGGGAGAGACTAGCACAGACGGGTTGGAAGATGGCTGCAAATTTGTACTTGAATCCCACCATGCACGGGCTGATAACTGCATGGCGACCCTGTGCAAATGAGGTCACCGAGTTCCCGGACAAGCAGCGGTCTGGGGTCCCCCGGTGCTGACTCAGACGTGCACTTCCTGTCCCCACAGGGCCAAGGTGAAGAAAGGCGTGAGCATTGCCGGGGTGAGGGCCAGCAGCCCCTCCATCTGGGACGTCAAGGAGAGCTCGGAGTCCGCCGGGAAGTACGCACCCGCTGTCATAGTGTGTCACAAGAAATCTGCTGCCTCGGCAAACGGGTGAGTCCCCTGGCAGGGCGCGTGCAGGCCGGTGGCCGCGGTAGCTTTGTCGCCCCAGCCTCTTTTCCGCCGCGGTTTGCACGTGGGGTGTGTCGTCTCTGTCCGCTGTGGCTACAGCAGAGATGGATGGAGTCCCTGATTTGGGAGCCGAGGGTCCTTATTCACCCCGGCCCTGCTTCCGACCACAGCACAGCCAGGACCACCGGCGCCCGTGCAGGTGGATTTTGTCTAAAAATGATGTTCTGCTGCAGCAGGGCCTCATTCCTACTTGTGTTTTGGGGTGAACCGGGAAGCCTGGGTATCACTCATAGTGCAGCTCTTTCTGCAAGTGTTAAAAACAAGGGTCCGTAGCCCTGTTTGTGCCCAGCGTGCGTGTCACATTGGCTGTGCAGATTGTATTTGTGTGAGGTGCTTTCTGAGCGAACAGTGAACTGTCTGCCGTGGAGTTGCAGGAACTGTGACTCACTCTAGGGACAAATTAAAAGCGGAATCTGTCTCTGATATCCACCAAATTAGGGACAGTCGATTCACAGCTGGGCAAAGAGACTTAGAAACTCAGCCACTCTTGATTTATTCCACTTTCCCTGAAGCTCGTTTGTGGCTCTGGAGAATTTCTAGTCTGGTCACATATTTTTGTCACTCTCAGGCTTATATTTGCTCTTTATATTACCGAAAATTTGAAGAGTAATGGAAGGATGGAGCTACGTGTGTAACACATTACTTCGAGAGTGCAGTTCTAAGCTTCATACTCAGTGTTGGGAAAGTATTGTGATTTTCCATTATTTAATAAACACAGAGGTAATGAATCTCAGTTGATAGCTATTACTTTTTTTCTTGGTTCATTACCAAGGTGCATTTGAAACCAATTCGGGGATGATTTGATTTGAGTTCCCCTCTGTGCCCCGTGCTCAACGCTAGAGCTTGAGAATGTGGGTCTTTGGCAGAGCTGGTTTGTGCTGTTCTCCTGTGGCTGTGCTTTGATGAGCTCTTTTCCTGGAAGACTCACTCATAGCACAGTTGAGAGGATAAGGAGGAGGTCTGCGTTTGAGTTTATCCTGAAATATTTGTGATGGTGAGACTGGGTGACCCTGATGCTTTCACAGGGACGGACTGACCCACCTGATGTCTGTGCTAGACATGCCAAGTGGGAAATAAGGTTCCATCTCAATAAGGACTTCTAAAATGGGGTAAACGAACGGATGGGCAGACAGAGGGATGGACAAA